TGATGAATAATACAATGTATAGTAGGAACATTAACGTTAAATTTGCGTAATAATCTAACAAAACCAATATTTTTGCCAACCATAGCTTTGGCACCATCTATGTACAATCGATGACATTTTTTCGAATCCACCAAATGGTTCAATTGCGTTTTGTACTGCATTAAATATATCACTTCCTTTGGTAGTTTCATGCTGGGAACATAATTCTAATAGCTCTTCATACACTTCAAACTGTGGAGATATCGAAAAATATGCACAATCCGTCATAATAATTTGCAATGTCTTATGAATGGCACTATCAATGTCAGCTATACGACGTGTCACTGTGCGCCTTGAAAGTGAAATTTTTTCAAATTCACTGGCAATTTTGTTTTTGTTAATTGATTTAGCTATTTTTACTGCACAATTTTTAACAAATTCGCTATCACTCAACGATTTTTTAGATTTTGCTATTTCGTTAGAAATTATATATGAATCCAATAAACTTGATTGTTGTGAAGTTGTTGCTTTTGTCATCACATTTTGTTGTGATTGAAGTTTTCTTTTGAGATCAATTACAACACTCTCTCTTGCATCACCAATGTATTTTTCATATTTGGACAAATGATTTGTCATGTAATGTCTTTTTAAATTATATTCTTTGAAGACCGCAATAACGCTTAAACAAACTAGACATTGAGGTTTTTTTTGTATGTTAATAATACATAAATAGTCATTCTCCAATGAGGTATTAAAAGTTCTATTTTCATCATCAATTTTACGCTTTTTTGCGGACATTATTAGGCACTACAAAAACACGAAAATAATAAATTCAACGACACAAACGATACGAAGAAACTGATATAATTAAATAGGTTGCTACAAACAGCTATGGTTAAAAGCTATACGTATGCATACGTGTGTATATACTATAACTATTATATGACATTTATACATTTAACGATGTTCAATATCAGATAACAATTATTATATCGATAAGATAGAGTATGGACTATAGACTATACATTATAAATTATAGAGTATAGATAGACGATAAACTTTAAAATTGTATGTTGCTATTTGAAAATGTAGCGCGGGTCAGATAAAAATGGCTCGCGGGCCTCCAGTTGCCCACCCCTAATTTAAGATATATATAAAAGTGTCAGACCTTCCGGAACATTTTCAAAAGTTAAGTTGAAAAAGTTAATTTTTTGTAAAAAAGTTGTCATTTTAAATTGTGGGCAGGTTAAGTGTCAGATTTACAAAAAATATATACCAAATAATAGATAAAGACATCAAGCATCTATAAAAAAAAAAATTATATTGATATGTTCATTTTTGAAGAAGTAACGGCAAGTTTAGTAAAAAAAATTGAAAAAATTTCGAAAATTAGCGATTTTGAAATTTGGAGGTTTACTCTATTTACGGGGAACGAGGGAAATTTTTCCAATATTTGAGGGTAATTTCTTCGACTAGATACGATTTGTGATCTTTTGACATATCGTTGAAAGAAATCCGTTCTGTGAGAGCTGAGAAAAAGTGGTAACAGACACAAAAAAAAAAAAATAAAAAACACATCTTAGTAAAACCAATACCTTCTCAGCTTCGCATCGATGCTAAAAATTATGATTTTTGTAAAATAATTTTATTTTATATTTTTAACTTAATAATGCTATAACTTATTCAAAAATGAACATATCAATATAATTTTTTTTATTATAGATGCTTGATGTCTTTACTTATCATTTGGTATATTTTTTTTGTAAATCTGACCCTTTAACTGCCCACGGGGGGGATTTAAAATGACAACTTTTTCACAAGAAATTTACTTTTTCAACTTAAATTTTGAAAATGTTCCGGAAAGTCTGACACTTTTATGTATATTTTAAATTAAAGCTAATGTAATATACTTTAATTTGAAAAAAAAAATTTGACCTCTGGACTTTTCTTCACGGCGAAAATGGCTACCGAATGCTATTTTCGTGTGAAAATTCTCGATTTTATAATTTACATTTTTTACTTTAAAGTGCTATAACTTTTTAAAAAATGTATGGATCAACACAATTTTTTTATGAGAATATTTTTTAATAATCCCTTTTTCATTTGACATACTTTTCTTAATCAAGATATTAATAAGGAACTAGCAGATCTAGTAGCTTTTGGAATAATACACCAATTTTTTAAAATTAAACACAATCTAAAGATTTGCATTGAAGCGATTATTTTTGATAATGATTTTAATCACTGTCAGATATCATTATACTTGATCTTACTATACTCCCTGTGCTGGGGGTTTTTTTCAATTTTTTTTACTTAAAATTAGCATAACTTTTTTAAAAATGATCGAGTCAATATATATATTTTTTTTATAGATATTTTAGTTATTTACCTGTCATTTGATACATTTTTTGAACATTTGACCTTTTACCAGCCTATAGGAAATGTTTCCAAATGGCAATTTTTTCACAATAAATTAACTTTTGAAAATGTTCCGGAAAAATTGACACTTTTATATATATCTTAAATTAGAGCTTATATAATGTACTTTAATTTGAAAAAAAAAAAATATTTCCTCTGAATTTGTCTGAGTAAAATAACTTTGAAATGTGAACTAGCTTAAATTGCCTTTTTTCAATTGACGAAAGCGACGAACGGTTGCTGAGTCGGTAACACTTGTGTCTTACGCGCTTGAGGTACAAGGATCCAACCCGCGTATGACTATGATTTTTTTGCATTTTTTCCTTAATTCTTTTTGAGTTAGAAAAAACTTTTCAACTCATTTGATTTTTATCTCTTTTAAATTCAACATATCCAATGAATATCAAGGATATCATCACAGTAGTCTCCCCTAGTTTGAAGAAATTATTTATTAATATTAAAATTATATTTCTATGTGGTTTTATAGTAATTATAAAATTTACTAGTTGCTTATTAATCTTAACAATAACATTTTTTTAATTCTCATAAAATTTTCTATTTAATATTTAATATGTCAATTTCATATTTGCAAGTTGAACTAAAAATGATGAAAACAAATTTAATTTTTTTTATTATTAACTTTCATAAATGCAATTTTAACAGATTGAAGTACAGTCACTGCTATAGCAGTCATTGTGTTTTAAGTCGTAATTTGACTATAACTGCTAGAATAGTGATATATTTAGAATTATGCAGATTCCAATACTTTTGATTCGGATTTGGATAATGGCAGTGATATTATAGATTTGCAACAATCAGAACCAACTATAACAGGTGAAGTACTTGGTTCAACAGTTGTGAGAAAGTTGAAAAGTTTAGGATTGGATTTATTGTCATGTGTAGGAATTGTTTGTGATGGGTGCAATGTTAACATGTGAAGCAGTTGTTTGTTATACAGAAATCATCTAAGAAAGACATNATTGTCATGTGTAGGAATTGTTTGTGATGGGTGCAATGTTAACATGTGAAGCAGTTGTTTGTTATACAGAAATCATCTAAGAATGCTATGATATGTCCNGAAGCAGTTGTTTGTTATACAGAAATCATCTAAGAAAGACATATGCTTAAATCATTTGTTAAACAATAATTTATATAAATCAAATAAGGTTCAAAATATTAGAAATACTATTGGAGCCATTCAACCATGCCAAACTCTTTCAAAATAACCTAACCGATTTTCATGAAATTTAGTGTGCATATCGGGTAGGTCTGAGAATCGGTCTACATCTATTTTTCATACCCCTAAATGTTAGGTCCACTCCTTCATATTTTTTTGGCAAGATTTTTATTTTTATTTTGTTATGAATTTTTTCACGCTCATCAAACCCTATTTTTCAACCACGATATTTTTTTATTTTTTATTTTATCCACAGATCCCTAATAGGTTGCAAGATGGGAATCAAACATAATAATTGTTGTACCATAAATTCTTATTCAGAGTTTATAATTTCAATTTCCTTTAATTATGCTTTTTTTCTCAATTTAACTTGATCTTCCACCTTCACCGGTCGATAACTGATCAACTATTAATCGATCAGTTATCCCCGCCAGTTGAAAACCATCCAGTTTGTTTGTATTGGCTAAAGACGGACTAACCAAGAATTATGTACACTCTTTTGCGTTTCTCTGAGAAATTAATCTTAATTTTTTTAACTGTCATAATAGTAAAAATATGAATAATTATTTTTTATGTTTAGATAGTTATTAAGAGTTGTAATTAAAAATATATTCGTTACTTTAATAAAAAATACAATGATTTCGATTATAAGTACATCCCTACACACTTATAGTAAGTTAGTTATTTTTATTGAACTAAAAAAATATTTCTTGAGAAATAATTTATATGGCAAAACAACGTTTGCCGGGTCAGCTAGTTGATTTATAATAATTAATAAATTTTAAGAATTGTTGTATTAAATTATAATCTTTTCCCCTAGGATAAGGTACAAAATCCATGGTGCTCCAGTTTTGTCTTTGGCTTACCTAAGCTCTCCTCGGGTTCTTGTAAAGTTATGCTTATAATTAAATATACATTTAATACATGTTATAAGTATACGACTTGATTTCGTTCAGTAGGAAGCAATTATTAACTAGTCTCATTTAAATAAATATAACATATTTATTCAATAAATAACAATGTTATTACTATATCAATAACCGGCTTATCAATAAGACAACTTTATAAGCGTGTAGAATCACTAAATATACAGAAATATTATGTATTTATTTATTAAAACATTAATGATAGAAAATTGTAGTTTTTACCTTATTACTCGTGATATGCATAAAACTAGCACTCTGTATATACATATATTTATATATATTTCTTACTTGAAAACAATAAAAAATATGTTTTTNTTTTTTTAGCATAGAAATAATTAACATATCAATTATTATTATAATGTATAAAAACCATTAAATAAAAATGATTCCTTCGACTGGAAATTCGAAAAAAACACAATGTGTCAATACTTTTTTTACCCACTGTAGTTCAAAATATAAAAATCATTAGAAAAATACAATAACGCAATATATTTGCTGGATAAAAAGTATATTTAATTCACTTTTTAAAACATGACTGAACACACTATTGTATATTTGCACATACTTTATTAGGTTGTATTTCAAAAGCTTAGTAAAGAAACAGGAGTATTCTATTTTTTCATTGCATTAAATTTTTTGCTTTTTTGCATATAAGTAATTTTTTTATAATTACATTGTAATTATTAGACTTTATCTTAATCTTTATCATTTACATCTCTACACACATAAATAACTGGATTTCTATCTATTAAATCAATATCTCTTTCTAAATCTTTTAACTGTTTTTCTAACTTAGTTTTTTTTTTTTTTTTCTTAATAGTATCTGTTAACATTGGTAAACGCTGAAATTCCCGTTGAAGTTTGGTCCAATTTGTTTTTAGACCCTACAGTTTTATAAACGCTTTTTCAATAATAATAAAATACATTTTAATCTTATTTTTACTCACATTTAATAATAGATTTCGTTCTTGTTCAGGTATATACATCAACGCAGGTTTTTTAGCCATATTTTTTTCAACCTCTAATATTTTTTTATTTTCTTTTTCTTTGTATAATTTAAAAATATACCCGGGAGTTTTACCGAAAGTCTTAATTAAAAGTCAATAATATTTATATTAAAATATTTAAACATTTTTATCTCATTTTGAAATAAATAAGTTTTATTACTTTTTTTGATACATACGTAGGTTCTAATCCTGCTTCATCGAGAATAATAACATGTCCATTTCTCGTATCTTGAACCTTATGTTTAGACAATGGAGGGACTTTACGAATAGCGTCAACAATATTTATATGTTTTATATTTTTTTTTTCATTAATACTAACTAATGAATTAATTGGTCTACTCTTGAATATTTTTTCAATGTTGTTTTTGTTTGGTAAAGGTCTAATTAATGTATTTACTTTATTTATTTCTAAAAAACAGTTATTTTAATATTAAAACAAAATAAATTTTTTTGTGATTGCAATAAAAATTATTATATAAAACTTACCCACAAATGGTCTAACTACTTTTCTTGAATGTTTCTTTAAAAATTCAGAAGGAGAATTTAATTGAATCTCTGCATAGCCCATAGTTTTATGACAAGTTTTGTTACATTTGAATGACATTTTGATTGAATCTGTAAAAACTGATCGATACATGGGAGGCTTGACTACTGGTGGTTCAGGAATAACTATCAAACGTGAAATATTTTCATTATATTGAGTCATCATGAATAAATACCTTACGAAGTAATTAATTTTTATAACTGTTTAAAATTACATGCCTAAAAATTTATGTAGTGTACAAAATCAAATGTTATGTTTATTAAAGCTAAATTATCATTCATAGCAACGTTAATCATTTAAAATTTGTAATTCAGATTATTTTTCCATAAATAATTGACATGGGATTAAATTATGTAGTTTTTTCAGTCTTCTTCTTTCCAATTTCTGGGAAATAATTTTTTTCCTTCGATCTGTCAAAAAATCTAATGACATTGGTACTATCAGTAACCAATAATATCAAGCCCTCACCACTAGACTTAATGAGTTTCTCTTGTTCAGTAGACTTCTCATTCATATTATAGCTTACGAGGACTAGAGCAACTTTCTTGTCGTCCGTTATCACAGTTTAATAGGTTAATACTAACTAACCAATGTCCTGACCGACTTAGAGCAATGGTTCGCGATGCTATCAAAGGCAGTAAAAGAAATAACGGTGTGGATTGTCCAGGGAGCCAAAAATTATGTGCGGAATAGTTTTCCCTATGGAAATTATTGGATAGTGTTAACATAAGGTGATTGAATAATCTATTTAATAAAATCCTATTAGAAGGGAAAATGCCAAATATTGGAAGAATAGTATTGTGATATTTAAAGGCAAACAAGACATTCAGTAGTCGAGAAATTATAGAGGCATAAAGCTAATGAATCATAGTATGAAAATTTGGAAAAAAATATGAGGAGAAAAATTAGTAACAAGTATTGTTTAAGTATTTAGGGTCAGTTGTGCAAAACAGCGATGGTATTGACGAGGATGTAAGACACAGGATTAAGTGGGGGCGGTTGAAGTGGAGAGAAGCGTCAGGCGTCTTATGCGATAAAAAAATTCTAATGAGCAGGTATGTTGTTTGCTGACGATATAGTGTTAATAGAAAGAAATTAATCAAAAGCTAGGTACCCTTAACCGCCCCTATGCTACAAGTTTTTGTGATCACACAGTTCACTGATGACAGCAGTGAATTCCCCAACCCGGTTATCATAAATTGTCAATAGCGCAACAATTGTAGAATTCCACTTCGTTAATTATTTTTAATATTAACAAGTAGATTAACCAGTTGTTTGCCCATCCAATCTTTATCGCGCGCGCAAGGCCCCGCTACTGATACACATTAAATTGCAACGACAGCGATAGACAGGTAGTGCACAATACACTTCATATCACGCGTTCGATATAGCATTTAACAACCGGGTCCCATAAAACCGTTTATATTATTAATTGTGACCTTCGCTATCATAAATTGAACACCTCGGACGCGACCCCTATCAGACAGTGATAAATATTGCGGCCCAACACTTTAGAACCCGGCAACCAACTCCCAGTACAACAAGTACATAGCCTTCACCACCTCAGATACCCAATCACGATACGCGAACGGGTAGCACCAGACCACGACCCCTGATGTTGTTTCGCGCTGCGTGACTTGACATCACCGCCCTTAACTCTCATTCATTACAGCAGCCTGGCGTCAATGATAGTGCAGGCCCGTCGACGGAGGCCCCTCCTTTTGTTTGGTAGAATAACAAGCAACCCCCTTCACCACCCTCGTTTGCGCACAAATGATCGACCACAACCCATACCACAAAGCGCGAACAAACCCAACCGCGAATATACGTTGAAGAAGTCAACGTTTTGACGTTGATGACATGTTTATTATACACTGGCACACACGTTGGACCTGTCATGATCATGTTTTCCCTATATTCTATTATTTCATTTTATATGTGGTCTACACAGCTTGCTACACGTGGTTTAATTTATCATTCTTAATTGTCTTACCTTTATGTGGACTTAATGCTTAATAAATTAAAAAGCATTTTATCACCTGAAGCAATATTATTTGAATACCTTTCAACGTATACATTTTTATTACTGGTGGAGTAACATTAAACTTTGTAATGTTGCAGAATTTGTACTAGTTTGTTTTTACAAGTCTTATCAATTAGTGGCGTGTGCATTAGGTGTAAAGTATTTTTGATAACAGTGTATGGGATAACCTCCTTCAGTCAACCGGTCCTATATCTATTATCCTATTATCATCAGCTGACCATACACTGTGTGTTGTGTATTGGTGGCTGCACTGTTGGGCAGCCAGCGTCTAGGTCCTCTTTATTATTAAGATGTATTAATGTTGTAATAAGCAGAAGCTCTCATGATTATTATTAAAATAAAGTTTTTTATTGAAATAACTTAACTTGTACTCATTTTTAAAATATGTATTACTAAAATACATAACATGGCGCAGTCGAGAGGATTGATAGTACCAGCCCCAGGACCGCTGGAGTTACACGGTAATTTAATGGAAAATTTTAAAAATTTTAAAAGAAAGTATGAACTATACATATCAGCTAATGACTTGGAAAATAAGTCAAATAAAATTAAAACAGCAATATTACATTCTTTTATTGGGGATGATGCTAATGAGCTGATTGATACGCTTGAGCTGACTGATAAGCCATATTGTACTATATTAAGTGGCTTAGAACAATATTTTGAACCTAAAAAAAATTTAATAATAGAACAATTCAAGTTTTTTCAAAGAAATCAGCAAGAAGGTGAATCATTTGATCATTTCTTAATTGATCTAAGAAAGCAATCTAAAAAATGTGAATTTGGTGAATTGAACAATAATCTTTTAAGAGTGAGGATAGTTCTTGGTATTAATGACAAGAGACTTCAGGAACGGTTATTAAGAGAACCAAAATTGACTTTAGAACAGACTGTTGAGTGTTGTAGAGCTGCTGAAGCTGCTAAACAGAACCAGTCAGTAGTAATGTCAAAGGGTGATTCTAATTATTTGTCAAGTAATCCAATGGTTGATGCTGTTATTTATAATACTAAAACAGAACATTCTAAAGATTTCAACAAGTTTGATGATAAGTCAAATGGGTTACAAAGTGGTGGTCAGTCCAGTCAATCAATGAAATATAAAAATCATGACATAAATGTTTTAATGTATGATTGTAAGAAATGTGGTCGACATCATGGTCCTAGGAGTTGTCCAGCCTTCAATCAAAAATGTAAGATATGTTTAAAATTTGGTCATTTTGCTGTAGGATGTAAGTCAAGAATTGTTAAAGATAAGAGTAATTTAAGTAATAATGTAAATAATAATAGACAGGTTAGGGCTATTACTAATGAAAATAATAATAGTAGTGACCAATTATTTTTTATTAATAAAGTTAATATATGTCAGAGTTTGGTTAGAGAATCTTGGTCAGAAAATATAATTGTTGATAATAATGTTATTAAGTTTAAGCTTGATACAGGTTCTGATATAAATATTTTACCTTTGAGTATTTTAAAAAAGTTAAATAAGAATTATAATATGCTAAAATATGAGGTGAAAATACAAGCTTATGGAGGCTTTATTATTGAAGCAGTTGGCGAGATAACGTTAGAATGTATAGTTAATAATAAAAATTGTGTATTAAAATTTGTTGTTATTAATGATTTAGAGCTTGAGTGTAAAGTTGAACCATTATTAGGGTTAAGTGACTGTATGGAATTAGATTTAATTAAAAGAGTAAGTGATGTTCAGTTAAAAGAAAAATATTCAGACAAAGAGCAATTTATAAAAGAAAATGAGAGTGTGTTTCAGGGCTTGGGTAAGTTTGGTGAGGAATATACTATTAGGTTAATGCCAGATTACCAATGTACAATTAAGCCACCACGTAGAGTACCTCAATCTATTCTTAAAAAGTTAGAAGATACTCTGAAATCATTGTGTGATAAGGGAATAATCAAACCAGTTGAATATCCTAAGTCATTTGCCAGTAATATTGTTATTGTAGAAAAAGCGAATGGTAATTTAAGAATATGTTTGGATCCAACTGATTTAAATAAGTATATTAAAAGAGATTATTTTTTAATTCCTACAGTAGATGAAATAAGAGCAAAATTGGTAAATAAAACAATTTTTACAGTTATAGATCTTAGAGAAAGTTTTTATCAGATACCGCTAAGTGAGGAGTCAAGTGAATTGTGTACTTTTAGCTCACCTTATGGGTATTATGCATTTAAAAGATTACCTTTTGGAATATCATGCGCCCCAGAAGTATTTTTTAAGACTTTAACAAAATATTTTGGACATATTAAAAATGTAATTATATATATAGATGATATATTAATAGTTGGTAGTAATGAAAAAGAACATGATGAGGCGCTAGAAGAAGTAATAAACAAAGCAAAAGAATTGAATGTTAAGTTTAATCCAGAAAAAGTACAGTATAGACAAAAGGAAATAAAGTATTTAGGAATGAAATTTAATAATGAGGGAGTTAAGCCAGATGAAAGTCAAATAGAAGCTATAAAAAATTTAAAGGAGCCAAAAAATAAAATAGAGTTGCAACGCATACTAGGTATGTGTAATTATCTAAGAGAATTCATACCAAACATGTCTAAAGTAACATCAACTTTAAGGGAGTTGTTAAAAAAAAATATAATATGGTTGTGGACTCAACATCATTCTAATGCATTAAATGAGTTAAAGACACTAATTACTAATGCACCAGTTTTATCAAATTTTAATCCTAATCTCCCTATTATTATACAAACAGATGCTTCAAGTACAGGGGTAGGTTGTTGTTTATTACAACAAAATAAACCAGTTGCATTTGCTTCAAAAAGTCTTAATGATACGGAAAAAAATTATCCTCAAATAGAAAAGGAAATGTTAGGCATAGTTTTTGCTTGTAGAAAGTTTCACAATTTTATTTATGGTTATAAGGTAATTATACAGACAGATCATTCTCCTCTGGTATCTATATGTAAAAAAAATTTATGTCAAATTGCATCAAATAGAATACAAAAAATGAGACTTAAGTTAATGTTGTATGATTTAGAATTGACTTATTTGCCTGGTAAATATATGTATGTAGCAGACTTGTTATCTAGAAATCATAGTAGCGAGACATATAATGAGATTGACATAAAAGGAACTATACATTTTGTTAATAGTGAAAATGGTTTAACTAAAAGTGAGTTATGTGAGGAAACAGCAAAAGACTCAGTTTTAAAACAAGTACTTGAACTTAGTAAAGAGTGGCCTAATAGTAAGGAGCATGTGCCTGTAGAAATAAGGCACTATTGGAATTTAAGAAATGACATATTGAGTGATTCAGGTATAATATTTTATAAAGAACGTATAGTGGTTCCTTCTGTC